AAAACTCAAGACAGCCATAACATTATGTTTCTTTACAAGTGTATGTAAACTTTTTACCACAACTGTAATAGCCTGGCCAAAGGAGGAGATAATTGACACAAAGACTCAAAGGTCCCCCACAATGTATGGAGGGTTTCACCCCAAGTCCAGCACACTGAGACTATACGCTAATAGGAAGTAGGGAGGAAGAGAACTAGTGAGCAGCAGAGTCACTATACGGGATGAAACCAGTAAGATTACATAGAGTACAAAAGGAAAGTCTCTGATGATGAACTGATGAGTGAATGCCTCAGACAGCAGCAGAATCCCAATGTGGAAGAGGTGGAGCCATCATGGAAAGATAAAACCCCACGAGGCATGTACCACCTGCAGATTGAAAAAGTGTCTGTTATCAACAAATCCTACCAGTGGTTAGTCATCACTGGTTTGTAGATCTTGATCTGGAAGCCTTACAGTGTCTTAGCTCTTGCATTCTCCACCACCAGTGGGGTCTCCCATTTTGACTGTGGGACTTCCAGTCCATACCAGGCACATTTTTTCCTGTATATTATTCCAGCAACTTGGTTATGGTGCTGCATGCATGCTATGCCTGTCTGCATCTTACACCTTGTTATGTGTTGGACTGTATCAGGGCCATCTTGGGTCTTGTCTGATATGGTAGACCCTGGCCTCTATTGCTCTTGTGCTGAGGATCTGTTCTTTTGTTGCTGTGATTAGTGCCTCTCTGTCTTTCAGTCCAGCCTTCTCTAACCAAACAGACATTGTGATTGACAAGCAATAGAAGAAGGCAGTGGTGACAGATGTAGAAATCCCAAATTACTGTAACATCAGGAAGAAGGAACAGCTGGAGAAATACCAATAAAATGTTTTTCATATTGTTTTACAAGACTTTTGATTTCTTTACGCCTTATTTATGAAATAAAAAAATCCATTGTTTGCAAGCATTTTTTCCAACCAGTCTTATCACATACAGTATAACACACCAGACCAGTGTTTAATACTGTATATGTGTTGAAATAATCCAACAGTCTTTAATCCCAGACATTAATCTGTTGTTTCTTATCTTCTCTGGAAAGATCTGGCTGAGTTTGTGTTCCTGGGCTTGTTCCTGGTTGAGATGTCCATGAAAATGTACGGCCTTGGACCTCAGAACTACTTTCACTCTTCGTTCAACTGTTTTGACTTTGGGGTGAGTGCCTCTGTTCAGAACCATAAAGCCTGTAGACCTGCAACACTAATCAAACCTTGTCTACAGGTGATTATCGGCAGTATTTTTGAGGTGATCTGGGCTGCAATGAAACCTGGTGCCTCATTTGGGATCAGTGTCCTTCGAGCACTAAGACTACTCCGGATCTTCAAAGTCACCAAGTGAGTCATGAGGATTTCCTGTGTGCTGGAGCCCAGGTTTGACTGAACACTCATTGGCATGTTTGTGCCTGTAGGTACTGGAACTCTTTGAGGAACTTGGTAGTATCACTACTCAACTCCATGAAGTCCATAATCAGTCTGCTGTTCCTGCTCTTCCTCTTCATCGTTGTGTTTGCTCTGCTGGGCATGCAGCTGTTCGGTGGACAGTAAGTAAGGGACAGGAACACATAGAGACAGGGACAAACAACTATGCAGTCTCTGTCACATTGAGGGTTACCATTGAACTGAACATTTTTAATCTGTTGGAGAAAACATGCGAACTCTACACAGAAAGGCTTGGACAAACCTGCTACCTTCTTGGTGGCTGTGGAGCAGTGGTAGAGTGGTAGACTTGGGAATGTCACAGGTCCTACTCCCCATCATGCCCAGATGTGATGTCCTTGAGCAAAACACCCAATCCCAACTGCTGCCTCGGCATTTAAATAGCTGCTCCACCTGAGTGCGTCTCATCTTTGTGTGGGAACTAGGGTTGTAACAATACATCGATCCATATCGATATATCGATTTGAATGGTTAATAATTCAGTTATATCGAGACAAAATGAAAATATTGATCTATAGTCATCATATGCTCAATGTGAATTTATATCATCTGCCCATCTAACACAGTCATTGTGTTAGATGGGCATATGAAATTGCATTATATCGATTGCAGACATGAACTGAATTGAAATCTTATCGTGACAGACTTTGTGATATCGAGAAATATCGAATCGTCATCCAAACATATTGATGTAATATTGTATCATGATAAAGCTGGTGATTTACACTCCTAGTGGGCAGGGTCAACCCTAGAAATTTGGGGGCCCTAAGCAAGATGTACTGTATTTTGGGGGTCCTACTTCACCATAAATAGACAATAAAAAATTTGCTAAATTAAATGCTGTATGTAATTATAAACCTGGAGCATAAAATTTTACCACTTTCTCACAGTGTACCATAGTTTATTGCTCACTGAGCACACTCACTAAATGTTGTATGAGCGACTGTAAATGGGTAAATGAGGACAAAGATAAAAAATTAAACTTGAAGAAAAGATAAAGATTGGATAGTTAAGCACTGTGAGTAGACTGGTTGATCAGAAAGGATCTGTGTAAATACAGTCCATGTATCATTTATTAATCTGAATGATCAGTGTTGAAGCTTTTAAAATGAGATTACCAGTAACTTTGCTTTGACTACTACAGGATTCCAAACTATTACGTGCTGTGTAATAATGTAAAGTGCAAAGTTTTACACAAATATACTGTATATGCTAATTCAAGAGAATTAAAAAAAGATTATGGTATGTTTAAACATTTATTTTTTAATTGGTAACAAGCCAAGTACATAAATAAAACATTAAATACACATTCAAATCTTAACAGGAAAAAGTTTTTACAAAATGTAATTGTTTAGAGAAAAATATATTAATTTGAAAAATCCTTATGAAAAAATATGTAATTATATTGTTCAAAAATAATTTCAAAAGCTTATTGTAGCCACTTTCTTTTTCTAAAAATGTTCTGTTCCTTGTTCTGCTAGTGGGAGCATACAGTATAATGATGACAATACAAAGTACATTACAGACTTGCAAAAGACAAGTAATGTTGACTCTAAAAGCCTGAAATGGATTCTGGAAACCACAGTTATTTCTCTAAACCCTCACTCAGTTTTTGTCTTCAAATAAACTATTTATTAATTTAATGAATCGTTTTGTCTGATTATTAGATTAGATTATAATTTTCGATCACCAGATGTGGGGGTAGGGGTATAACTGCAGTGAAAACCTTGTTTTTTGCTCACAGGTTCAATTTTGAAGATGAAACACCAACAACTAACTTTGACACGTTCCCAGCAGCCATCCTCACAGTGTTCCAGGTAAAGAGCAACATGGTGCCGTGTTATTTCTCTGCTCTGCCTGAACTGAGCCGGAAACCTTCCCTCCTTTCAGATCCTAACAGGGGAGGACTGGAACGCTGTCATGTACGACGGGATTAAATCACAGGGAGGTGTGCATGGGGGAATGTTCTCCTCCATTTATTTCATCGTCCTCACTCTCTTTGGAAACTGTATCCTGCTGTGTTGAATTTGAATATCAGCTTCAGTAAACAGTGGTTTGGTGTAGATGGTTTCCTGACCTTAAAGAACCAGACACACTCCTAAATGTCTTTTTGGCCATTGCTGTTGACAACCTTGCAAACGCCCAGGAGCTGACTAAGGTACAGTATAGTCTGTATACGATGAACCCAGTTATAGTGCTGCTGGTTTTTACTTTATTTTTATTTTTTAATCTCTGTTATGTCAGCATTTTGAAAACACAATAGTTTACTTAAAAAAACTTGTTGTGAAAGCGTCTGAATGCTTGCTGTGGATTAGATACTAGTTACTGTATGTGATCAGATCAGAGGTGGGAACATGTTGCTGACAGTTGACATGAAAAAAGGACTGTTATTCGTTATATATGAATGTAAGTTATCTTTCTCTTTAAGGATGAGGAGGAGCAGGAGGAGGCCATCAATAAGAAGCTTGCTCTCCAGAAGGCCAAGGAGATAAAGGAGGTCAGCCCCATGTCTGCTGCTAACATTTCCCTCACAGCGTGAGTCAACCTCTCTGAATATTTCTTTATACATTTATCACTGTCCACAAACAGAGAACCTCCACAGGAAGTTTATTTGAACTTTCAGCTCTGGACGCATTGGTTTAGGATTGGAAAGGACAGTTCAGTCAGGTTTATTTTTTTCAGCTTGACTTGCTTGTTGCAGCAGAACTGTGGACCTCTTACAGATCACAGAGTGATGTTTCCCTCCTTTCTCAGTTTTCTAACACAGTGAGGGTGCGTCGTCCACCAGCAATCTCTCCATTATTCCTCTGTTGTCTCTTTAGTCTCACCCCACAGTTTTTAACACCACTGGTTGCTCACACCTTGTTAAACTACCTCATGTGTGTGTGTGTCAGCTTTTACCTTTTTGTTTGACAGTTGTGGTATTTGTGTGAGTGTAACGCTTTGCTGTATGACTGATCTTTATGTTAAAGATTTGTTTTCAGTGACCCCCACCTCCACAGATTGCAGGAAATGATGGTTTGAACTAACTCATCCTTAAATAGATTAAACTAACGACTTGTTGTGACAACAACAACACAACAACAACAACAACACTAACACTAACTTCAGTTTTCAGTATAAAGGCTCATTTCTCATTCAGTCTTTGTTATTGAGACCTGTACTGATTTACATTTCTACCCTAAAGCTAAGCCTTATGATGGCGTATTTGGACCATTTTGTAGACGAAAAAAAATCCCTCAGAAATTCCCGTGATTGAAGGTAATATTTTTTTATATTTAAACAGAAATATTTTCTGACATTGTAAAGTCAGAAATTTACAAAAAAACAAACAAACAAATTAATCAGAAAAAAAAAAACAAGTTTTAAAGGGTGATTCCATTTGTTTTCATAACCTTGAGCCCCTTTAATCTGCTCTAGTTAAAATCTAAAACATATAGGCACTTCAAACCTGGACTACATTATTCTACACTGATTGTAGAATATTTATAACCAAGTGTGTGGTTTGTGAAACATATATTTGATTTGTGAAACTTCAATATAGGACAATTTCAGCACTTTTTATGTATTTTATGAACAAATAGAGCATGGTCAGATGGAGAGGTGAGAGAATTAGAGCGACTGAAGCAATACGTAAGTATTTCATAGACACAAACATCTCAAAGTGCTTAACAGAATTTTTTTTCAAATGATTCATAGGCTTTTATTTTGAAAAATCCGGTTACTGAAACAGTACATGTCACCACAAGTTGGGGAAATTGATGGTGATATTACTTGGCTGCATAGAGTTTTGAAAATTCTTTTTCTCTATAGGCTCTATGATTATTTTGGATGCTCCTATTGCTTCAGCCACTTTAATTCTCTCACCTCTCCAGCTGGTCATGCTCAATTTATTCATAAAATGCATTAAAAATGCTGAAATCATCCTATATTGAAGTTTCACAAATCAAATATATGTTTCACAAATCACACACTTGATTATAAATATTCTACAATCAGTGTAGAATAATCTAGTCCAGGTTTCTATCAGGTTTTTGAAAAAGTCAAAGATGAACGGGTTTGGAACGAAACAGACTAGGGAGACCAAATGCAAAAAGTAAGTGATTTTATTTACAGTGAAGGTCAGGATGGGAGACTGGGAGGAGCTGCAAAGGAAAGTGAGCCGGTGAGTATTTGTTTGACGGTGATGAGATCTTGCAATAATGATAAGTATATTATTTCTTACAGGCATATGAGGGAGGAGCAGCACAGAGGAGAAGGTGAGGATCCACGGAGGTAAGTTGTTTCCTTTTGTTTCCAGGTTGAGTTGATCAAAGGTGAGCAGGTGAGTTCCTGAGGCGTTGGAGGCAGACAGGCAGGTGAGCAGGGCGGAGATGTTACTTCCTTTAGACGACACGGCAGGATCACAGGTAGGAACACTGGACATAAAAAACACAGTAATTATCAACAAGAAGGTTTTCAAAGAAGAGCAGCCAGGACAAATACCATAAGGCATGTGTTGCTCCGGCGAGGATCAGTTCACCAGTGTCGTCTTATAAAGCCCTCAGGTGCTCATCAGGGGATCAGCTGCAGCTGCGCTGATTAACGCCTTGGCCAACCAGGAAACTGCTGGTGAAAAA